TGGTCTTCTGATGAATCCCCTTCACCGTAAGGTCAAGCATCTGAGAGTCTTCCTTCCTTATCAGCCTGCCTCCAACAGTCTCGATGACCAGTTCCTCCTTTCTTCCTTGAGCGCCGATTTCTTCTGCTACCTTCTGGTCTAGCAGCGACACTGTTGACCCTTCATCCATGAGGGCCAATATCTTCTTTGATCCTTTTGACCCGAAGATTTCTATCGGAATTATCTTCAGGTATGCCCTTGCGTTGTTGACCGCATTCACCGATGCCATGATGCTCGCCACTTCTTGTGGTTTGTTCTTCTGTTCTTCCGAGGAACTTTTCTCTGTCTCGACGTGCAGCAGATGATGATGCCACCTCTTGCATTCCTTGCACGACGGGTTCTTGCAGCTCTCCTTCCGATGTGTCCCTTGTAAACACTTGAAGCAAACGCGGCTTTTCTTCACTATTGCCCATCGATCTTGCACAGACGCCTTCAGGAACTTCTGACACCCGACGAGGAAGTGTTCACCCTCACACATGGGGCAAGTCTTCTCTGATCTTGAAACCTTTTCTTTGAAGTCCTTTTCCTTAGTTGAATGCGTTGCTTGTCGATGAGTCCGTCTGAACCCGCTCTTCTCTTCTGTTGATGCATAGGCTCCACACTTGTCTGCTTCTCTGTTCAGGAACTTGGACACCAGTGTTAGGTCGGAGAACTCGCCTTCTTCTGTTGTTTCAATGAAGTCGTACCATCGGAACTTGAGGATCGTAGGCATCTTCTCAATAATTTGTTTCACCATCTCAGGTGAATGCAGGTACTGTGGTTTCTTCAATCCTTTTATTGCCGCTACGCTGTTGCTGATCTGGCTCGCGAAGAGGCATATGTCCCTTGGGTTTTCAGAAATCTTCGGCAACGTTTTGACCTTGTCCAACTCTGCCAGCACCAGTGCATCTGGTCTTCCATATCTTCTTCTGAGGGCTTGAATCACTTCCATCGGAGAGGCTTCGGAGTACAGCAGACTCTTGATAGCTTCTCTTGCGTTGCCCTTCAGTGCTCTTCTTAGCCGAGCCATATTCTGGACGTTGTTGAACATCGGTGCTGTATCTTCATAGACAACCTTGAAGGCCATCCACTCGCTGCTGTTGCCGTCGAAGTAGGGTAACTCGTGAATGTAGGTTGGCTGTCCTGCTGGTCCTCGCGTGGTAAGAGCTTCCTTCAATGCTGCCGTCAGTGCTTGAATTTCAATCGTAGCTCCTCTCGTTGAGGAGTTCTCTTCAGGCTTCATCTTCTGTGGCTCTTCCAAGGGGTGTGGACCTCGCATCTCTGGTTGAACTTTGTTGCCATCCTCCAGCACAGACGTCTCGATCCAGTTCTGCACCTGTGCTGTTCTGTCTTCCAGGTCTTCATCCACGGAGTCCTCTTCTTCACACTGTGCCATCTCCAATCTGACACGGGCTAGCTTAGTTTCAGCCTGTGCTTGCTTCAACTCCAGGCGTGCCAACTCTTCCTTTGCTTCTAGCTCGCGTCTTCTGGCCGAGGAACTCGTGGTCTTCGTGGACCTGGCGCGACGACTGACCCCCATCGGTTTCAGGGTCTTGGAGGAGCCTTGAACATCCTTTCCAGGTACATCTTCTTGGCTCTTCCTGGTCATCCTCTGTGCAGCATCTTCTTTGTTGCCTTCCATAGACGCCGCCGTAGTTGCAGTCGTAACCGAAGTCTCCGTCACTGTGGTGCCCTCCGTGGTCGTGGTACCCGAAGAAGTGTTCGATGTAGTTGCAGTTCCCGATGACGCCGACGCTGACGTGACCCCTTCTGATCCCGACGTTCCATCTGTCGCGTCCCTATCTGAAGGACGGGACCCGGGACGTGAGGGGGCATCCTTCTGCGACCTGGTTACCGGCATCTTGAACGCAATCTTCTGTTTCTTCTGAACTTCTTCTAGCAGGGATCCGGCTCGAAGGACCAACTGTTTCGGACGACCAGAACCAGGGTATGTCTAGTACCCGGAGGTCGACCTGGGACAATCTCCCAGACGTTCTTGGCGTACACGGCAGTATGTCCGTTCGCTGGTAATGTACGCCACCACGCACCCCTGAATGCGTAGCTTGGGTCCCGATCCACTAGGGTTTCTTCGTTGACAGGAGACTATACTTAGAGGCGATGAAATAAAACACAATTTTTCCTTTTTTCTCTCTTGGTTTCGGTTCTTCCTTTTCCTTTTAGTTGTTGCCTCTTCGGTGGCTGTCTTGCGACTGACTCGAATCGAGAAATGGCTCGCCTTTTATTTGGCCCGTTAATACCTTACAGAGAGCCGCGTACTTTGAGCTCATTTTTCGAGTAAAATTTCCCTAAACCGAAACCTTGAGAGTCCTTTTATTTTATGTTTTCAGTAAAACACCTTACACATATTTATTTATTTACATGCCTTACATACTATTATACAATATTAAAACATAATATTCAATATATAATAATTAATTAAAAAAGTCTTAAAACAAAAATATCTAAATTTCTAGGTTGCTACATTTTTACTATACATTTTCCCTTATAACTTTTGAACGGATAGTCCTATCGACCTAATTCTTGTTTTATTATAAGTTTTATAATAAAATCTATTATTTAAAACATAAACTATTATGCTATTGCAAGAAACAAAAAATCTCATTTTCAAGTTACGTAATTATATGCTAACATTTTACTTACGTACCTATTCCTTTCAAATTAATGTTAAATAGTCTTATATGATTCAAATAAGCAAAAAATACTCTAAACTAACCTTATTACACTAATTAGAACTTATTTTAACATAATAAATCTAATAAGAATGAGATTTCATATTTACAACAATTATTCATAATACGCTAAAATGACATTGTCCCTATATTAATACACACGTTACTCGAAGATAGGTTTTCCGTCGCCGACAATGCTTGATAACTATCATATTAAACTTTCATTAATTGTTTTCACTTTTTTATGTTCTGTCCTTTTTTTTATCCTACTTTAAAAAGAAGAAGGGACTCAATCCGGATTTAACTACTCTTTTTTTGGCCTATGTTACGCGATATCTACACCCAATGTAAGCTGATTTTCATAATTATGTTTTTTTAATCAATAGATTGTACATGTAAATCCACCCCGTTCGTGGAATAATTACTTTATTGCCATTTTAAAGTAGTACCTTTATTTAAGTACCTTTGTAAGAGAAAGAGATAGAGAGAGATAGAGAGAGAGAGAGAGAGAGAGAGAGAGAGAGAGAGAGAGATGTACCTTTGAGGTATACCTTTTTGTTTGTATGATAGATAGGTACTTTTGGTGTTTAGTAAACACTGTTTACTTTTAATTTAAAAATTTAAATTGTACTTTGTACCTATTTAAATGGTTTGCTATCAATATTTTTAAACTTTATAAATATACATATGAACATATGCATGTATGGATTAACTTATTTACAATTTATGACGATGAATAGATGAAGCATTATCTACGTACACACATGTCTCGTTGGGTCTGATAACGCGCTCGTATCAGCTCCACTAATTGTCGGTAATCCCAATCAACACTCCACTATATCGCTATACGGGAATTAACATGTTATATTTGCCATGATAACCCATTGGTTACCAGGTGTAATGATTTGTGGGTTTGCAAAGTTATACCTATATTAGTATATTGGAATTTATTTGTAACTAGCGACTCACACTCGTTTCGCTCGGGTTCTTTCTTTCTTCTAGGTACGTTTTAATTTTTTTGAGCGGAACCCTAATTCGTTTTCTAAAATAAAAGTAGCCTATGTTACTTCCCTATAACATCAGCTATCTTCCAGTGAAACTCCCGTCCAAATCAATCCAGGCGGTTCAGAAATTATCCGGAACAAACAGACAGACAGATTTTTAAAAAAAAATGTGTTTTTCTTATTAGTACCGTATATAATTTCATATGCATTTATGAAAACGCTGTTATTTTGACATTACAGATGTCTTCAATTTTATTTATCTGTATAGATTTTTTTCTCTTTATTAAAACTTTACGTGTACCTTAAGGAACATACGAAAAAAAAAATTAGCTGAATTGGTCGAGCCTTTCTTGAGTTTTGCGCTTAGCAACATTCATTTTTATTTATATATGGCTGCATATCTCGATAAGTAGGTATATAACATTTTTGAGACATCTAAAACCTTAGTCTTTCCCGTGACCATGATTGCTGTAAAGCATTCGAAACGTCGGGAACCAAGATTCAAAAAAAAAGACGCGAAATAATCCGAAAAGATAGTTTTATTTAAAATGTCAAATATTTGCGTAAATCTAAGAAAGTATTGGGTTAAGTAGTTTAAGTAATTTCATGCTATTTGTCAATTTTTTTATGAATGGCTGTTGTTACAGCGCGCCTAGCGCTCACCAGTAAAGTCTGAAATATTCTAGTATTCGACGGGAATAATTTAGTACAACAAGATAAAAATAGCTATTAACACTTTCCGTGCCCATAAACTATCAAGTGAAAAAACACTTCGTTCTAACGAATATATTGTTACATGAAATAAGGAATGACAAACGAACACTCTACTTTTATTTTTATTATATTAATATCATATATTTATTAATATATTTAACAAATTGCCCCATTTTAAATGAAACTATCTTTTCGGATTATTTCGCGGATTTATGTTGATTTTTGGTTACAGACTGTCTGTAACAACTATACTTTCAAGACATGTAACATCCAGTCTCTCCCGTGACCATGGATGCTGTAAAGCATTCGAAACGTCGGGAACCAAAAATCAAAATAAATCCGCGAAATAATCCGAAAAGATAGTTTCATTTAAAATGTCAAATATTCGCGTAATTTTATAAAAGTATTAGATTGCCACAATTTTTACGTTTTTTAAATTCTTGAATGGTTAATATTTTTAAATAAAATAATACGTTAACTATTTTTTAAATGAACGTTTCAAAGATAATATTGCAACAAAATATAAAGATTAATTAATACGAACAATATATTGATAAATGTTAATTATTTACAGAAACATGTACATGTCCAGTCTGAACACGCAAAGGATTTCGCTGTCAGAAGGCAAGAAGATGGACGTAACGGATTTCCCATCTCCACCAGGTTTGATGTTTCCATTAACATTTATGTCTTATAATATTTATGTCTTATATAAGTAAGAGAGCTAAGAACGGTTCGTGGGTTTAATTCCCGCATAGTGTAACTTTTTATTTACCTATCTATACATATAATAAAATTGTAACTAAGCCGAATACATACAGATAAATAATATTGAAGAGTCAGTTCGTAATGTTAAAATAACAGCTTTAACATACGAAAAAAAAAACATATAAAAGTAAATACAGTAATTATAAGAGAAAAAATAAAAATTGCCTGTCTGTTTATTCCGGCTAATATCTCAAACAACTGGGTCGATTTTGACGAGACTACTGGCCGATACCGGTTGATATAAGAAGTAACTTAGGGTAGGTGCTTTTAATGAATTAGGGTTCCGCACAAAAAAATAAAATCTATGAAATTGTGAACGAAATTGCGTACCTAGCTAGAAACCCACCTGAGCAAAGCGAGTGTAAGTCGCTAGTCTCTAAATATAATAAAATTCTATCCGGATAGACATTTAGATATTTTTTTGAAAATCTTATTGAAATAGAATCGATACAGAGGCCGAATCTAGTTTTTAGAATTTTTGTCTTTCTGTCTGTCTGTCTGTTACCGCATCACAGAAAAAACCACTGGAGGGATTATGATGAAATTTGGTATGGTGATAGCTGGTTATCCGGATCAACATATAGGATACTTTTTACCGCGGGAAAATATCTCATTTTTGAGAAAAAATACAAAAACTGCAATGTAAGAGTATACAAATATGTAAAACATAAGAATTTGGTTTTTGGTCATCTGAACGCGGGCGGAGCCGCGGGCAATGCTAGTACTAAATATACCTACAGATGTTTTACAAGATTTAATATTTTCCTGTAATAAAATATATTTATTACTTTGTTTCACAGGAATATTTGTAGTAGTGGATTATTATACTATTATATTTATATAATATGTATGTATTTAAAGTTATATATGTGTAGTGTATCAACTATCTGGTATCCATAACGCAAGACTCGTAGCTTACCATGGTACTAAATGGTGATGTTTGTTAAAATCTCAACATATTTATACATAATATTTATATAATTTTATTCTGTAATTCCGCGTATATTTGATATTTTTATATTTTTGAATTATAATATCGTGTGATATTTTATTATTTTGTTACCATAGTTAAAATATTTGAAATAGGTATACTTATGTATATTTGTAAAGGTCTACCTGAGTCAGACTTAACCCAAATTTTACTTAATATCATACTTGTAGATATGTCTTATGGACAAGGTTACCGCCTTGTTGTACAATGTACATATCTAATCTAAAAAATTTAAAGATAAAATACTTTGCATAAATCGTTCACTGCGATCGCGGTAAATGTTTGTATTCGCCATACTTACTACTTGGTATTCATTCTTCTTAAGTATATTATTAAGATAATAATACTTTCTTAGATTTACGCGAATATTTGACATTTTAATTTTTCGAATGCTTTTCAAGTTTCGAATGCTTTACACCATGATTATGAAAGCATAAACTTCGGGGACCAAAAATCAAAATAAATTCGCGAAAAAATTCGAAAAGATTACATTATTAAGACTTAGTATTATGAAAACGAGAGTGGATCGCTAATATAATGACCTATTTTCTTTAGTAGTTCCTATATTAGCCTGGTAGGCAGGAGGTATTGTATTGCAGTGCGTGTGCACAAACACAAGTGCACTCCCTATTCCTTTTTCTAAGTTGGGTGGGACTAAAATTCGAAACTCGCGGTAAAAGACCAGCTGCGGAACCAAATATTTTACATGCTATCTGAGACAAAGGGGGTATAATAAGGGTGCCCGCCACAGGAATCGAAACCAGGACCTCCGTATATGCACTATGAGTTAGACCACCGAAGTAATTAAGAGGCCACTAATATTTAATGATATGTTTAAGAAATGATTAACCCACATCCAGTTTTTTCCAATAGAGCGACTAAAGAGGCGTGCAAACTTGAAGCTGACCAGGTCTAAGGAGCGCGACTGGAAAGATGACCAGAGGGAATCTAGGGCGGACTCGCTGCCGTCGCCACATCCACAGCCTGCTGTTCCTACCTTGGTAACTTTTTACTGACAGACGTGCTTTAAAATTTAAATATATATTGTATATTATATATGTATTTTATATCCTGAAAATAAAAAAAATATTAAAAAGGAGCGAGACTCTTACACAATAAAACTCACCGCGGAATGTTACCGCCGTGGTGTAACGGGGCGATGTAAAAAGTATTTTGATAAAATGGGTCAAGGGTTTCTATTGCAAGGGTATCTATTTATCCATAAAGGAATATTTTAGAAGAGTATTCTTATACCTAAGCAGTTCAGTATGTTCCATGGCATCTCCCACATGAACGCTGTCTCTTTGACATTAGTAGTAGTCAATATCTCTTCGCTTTCAGAGTCCCAAAATATGGTTCGTCTCTTCTCAAGGAATAAATTGATTTCTTATTCCAGGTGGAATCATGCAGTCGTTTCATGTCGCTAACCTCTCGTCTCAAATGTCGGGAAAGTCAACAGGACGAAGTACAAGAGAGGTGTACAGATGAAGAAATCCCCGCGAGTAGAGTGAACTTCCACAATACATTTAGTATGCTTATCAATATGGGGAATATAGAGAAGGGATGTAGACGCACCGTAAGTATAGCTGTAAGTTTGGCCATTTTATTCATTCATACATACATACAATACATACATGTTTTCATGTCACGTGACTTGGTCCGAGATGGTGGTGGTTACTTTAAAGGTATAAGGTTTATGTTTTATATATAATTTTCATTTTCGGTGAGTATGGAATAGATAGACTATATATTATATATACGTAGGTATGATGACTTGTATTATAACGTATTTTCTCTTGGGAATGTCTCTCGCTGAAAAGTAAATTATAACACTCTCCAGACCTCCAATTATCTCCACACAAAAAATCACGCTAATCCGTCACTGTTTCGTCGTGAAAGAAGTACAAACAAACAAACACACTTTCATATTTTATAATATTAGTATGGATATGGATCTACATAATATTATATAACGATATTCCTATCAAAACAAGCAAAATTTTACAATTGCTCGTAACATTTTGTGTAATACTGCTTCCATCATGTAAGTCCAGCTTTTCTCATAGTCTATCTATACTTTCGTTATCCTACCTTTATTTTAGTACATAGTCCATAAAAAAATATTTATTTATCCATATTTTTTATTTTCGTATTTGAATGTGCTTTGGGTATGTTTTCTCAATAACGTAATAATTTTGCAATAGTTGCAAAGACAACTAAAGAAATGATGATTCCACTCTATGTTTATTACTGCGCATTTTCTATTTCTGTCATTCAAATAATTCGACACTCGCAGAGAGATCAGGCGAAAAACCGATGGCTTCAGATGCACGGTAATATAAGCACCGGCATCGTTGCAATTTCTTGATACAAAAACTCAATAACTAATCATTGCCCGACCCGAGACTTGAACACAGGACCTCCGTATCTCCAGCCGTATGCTTGGCACTCTGTTCTCTCTGCTTACCCTGCAAGGATGTAAGAGCGCAAGTGAGTGTGTTCGTGCGTGTGTGTATGTATGCACTAAAAATTACTTAATAGTAAATTAAATTCACGATTTAAAAGTGCTTGTAAAAGTCTATTTTATTAAAATATAGTAGTATTTTGATTTGATTAGATTTGACTGTAGTAGTAAAGTTGGACCAACAAGTAACGTAACACATGCCAACAGATAAGCCGCGAGGAGCAAGTGTGGCAGAACGAGCTGAAAGACCTGATCTGGTTGGAGATCAAGGCGAAGCTGGGCGGGCGCAGCCTCGGCCAGCAGGACGCGCTGCTGTGCGCGCGCCGCGGCGTCGTGCCGCTGGTCGTGCGCCGCATCGAGGAGTACAAGTACGTGTGGAATGTTCTCGGACTTTCTGGGACTTTCTAGAGCCGTCTGGTGTGTGTGTGCGTGTGTGCGCGTGTTGTGTGAGGAACTTAATTGTTGTCTTAACTATAACCTACTTACCAAGATAATGGTTATATAATGTTTTTCTTTAGTTAAGGTTGTGTAATTTGAAAGAATTGAATTTTAATAAAAATGTATTATGTAGGTAATAAAGTAAAACATAAAAGAAAATAAATGTTAGTGGCATATAGTGATGAGTAACTGAAATAAGTATATATATGTATAAACCTACTTTATTTCATATCATCATTATCATTATTAGTATTAGAAATTCAAAAGCCATCAAACAAAACTAGATATTATATGTATCTTAAAACAATTTTGTTTTTTATTTCAGATTTGTAAACCCATACCCGTGTCGAAATAAATCACAGAACCTCACCACTATGGAGGGCTCGCAAGAGGATTTAACTTCAGACCAGTCTGAGGAGCCCGCGGATGAAGATAGTGAATGTATGTACTGTGAGATGATAAATAGTAAACCTTTTCTTAATTAACTGGTATATTGTAAACAAATAATATTTTTTCATCGTATTCATTCATTGCATCGTAGCTCTTAAACGGATGGACCGATTTCGATGCGGTTTTTTTTCGTTTGAAAGTCACTTTCCTTGCGGTGGTTCTTAGCTATATTTGGTAATATCGGTCCAGCAGTATCAGCTCTTTTCCAAAATGATGTAAAGCATTTTGGCGTATGATTACTCGATTAAGTGCTTCACGCGTGCCAGTGTAATCGTTAAGTGGTAATTAATTTGCGTAGGGGGTTTTTTAAATTTTAAATTTATAATTATATGTATATCTTATAAACTCATATGTATATTATTAACTGTAAATGTTAAAAATCTTAAATTTTATACACGAGAATACAATTGAATTATTGTAAATTGCTTGATTTTGACGAGATGCCCAATTTTTTTTCGTATTTCTTGTTTTTTTTTTCCATTAGATTTAACTGTGTGGATTAGTAGATTGTGGTTATATATATATAGTGTGTATTGCAGTGTAGAAAGTGTTTAATCATCGTCTCAGTGTTTATTTGTCCAAACGACCAATTTACTGAAAGAGTTTTTATTTTTAATATTATTACAATACAGTATTATTGATTTTTAAATGTCAATTTTATTGGTGTAAAATACGTATTTAATATTTAAAAACCGGTAAAATGTATTTTATATTAGAAATAAGGCTTTGTTTTTAAAATTAAAGAAAGAATCTCGTTACTGTTAACGTACAACAATTATTGGTGATTTGAAGATATAAGTACTAAGGCGATGTAATATTACCCGTAGAGAGCGGATGTATGTTTTTGTTAAACGACTGTGTTGATTAGCAAGATGGCTAGTCTCAGTGAGATTGGCCTCCGTGGCCGAAATCGGTCTGGAGGACATTATTATTATTACATTTTGTCGACAGTGTCGGAGGGCGGGTGCGTGTCGGTGGACTGCGCGCGCTGCAGCGCGGCGGTGGGCGCGGCCATGCGGCAGCTGCGCGCTCTGCTGGACGCGCACGCCGACGCCGTGGCGCTCTACCCCTCCTCCAGCGCCGCCGCCGCCGACCACCCCGCGCTGCGCGCGCCGCACATCGTCAACAGGCTCAAGGTTTTTACGAAAAACTATCTTTACGGGAGAGGCTTAAGGTTTAATACGTCTCGAACTTAGTATCTGTATCCAAAAATTATACAATGAAATACCAAAATAGCATCAAAGTAGCTAACAATATTTCTTAATTTTAATCATTTTTATGATTTTATTAAGTTTTATAATCGAATATAGTAATAACAATTAAACTTTAGTCTCTCCCGTGATCATGATAGCTGTAAACTGTAAAGAATTCGAAACTTCGGGAATCAAAGATCAAAATAAATTCGCAATTTTTTTTATTTAAAAATACTCTACTGGATTTACCTTTTACTATTTGCTCTTTTGTTCAAGCCTCTCAAGGGTCTATTACATCCTATTACCATTTTGTTCCTAACTAGTAAAGTTATTCCATTATGGGGTTCCTCTCGAGTTCTTTCTTTTCTCACTTCCATTTTTTTTTAATTTAAATTTTATTATGATATGAATGAACAGTCTGCGAACAAACACAACCAAATAAGAATATATTAATAATAAAAAATATTGTCTCCTGTAAAATAGTAAAACTAATGTTTGTGCGTGTGCGTGCAGGCGATGTGCCTGTGGTACAACACGGCGCTGCACATGCGGCTCAAGGTGATGTCGGTGCGCCGCATGCTGCGCACGGCGCGCGGCAAGCGCGGCGCGCCCGCGCCGCCCGCCGCGCCCGCCGCGCCCGCCGCGCCCGACAGGTGTGTGTGTGTGCTGGCTTTATAGTTTTATTGATATCTCTGACTCCCTCGTTGGTTTGGCTCTTCGGCCAATTTAATGCATCTGTACTGGTATTATAATAGCTACGCTGATATTTTTGGTCTGACTGCGTAGTCAGATTAGTGGGCGTGTACGAGCTTTACAACTGAGCTAATATTGAAAAATTGTGTACTGGGGGCTTTGGTACTAAGTTTCTAGATATTGGGCACTCCGTATAAGCACAAGTTTCTCATTCATTGACAATTTCTTTCACTCTCAAAAGTTAGACGGGATGGTAGGATCAAAATCTGCCTGGGTAAGAAAATGTTGCAATAATTTCTAACTTCCCACTGGGATATAGAAATTTTCTTTATTAAGAAAACCAGATCTAGGAGCCAAATTTTACCGTCAAAAAAGCTTTGATTGAGTGACATGTTAAAGTTTATCAATGTATATTAGCCCATATTTTACCTTTCATATCGAGATTTGTCTCGTTTTACTCGACTGACGTAAATTCCAATGAAAATTACTTAACCGACTCCAATGAAACTTTAAATGTACCACTGGTAGTTGGAATAATACAAGGTTTCATCAATCAGTTAACCAGTGTCCAGAAATCTTAAACATGTTAAAATCCCAATTTTGTATGGCATCTTTGGTGAGGTTAATTTGTTAATTTAATATTGAGTCTCCAAGTACAAAATAATTTCACACTTTAATTTTTTTTTAACTTTAGCGGTTTTCTTATTTCTGTTACATAAAATAACGAGATGATTACTTTTTAAAATATATACGACTAAAATACTATTTTGTTATTCTTTGATAGTAATAGCACGTGTGCGAACCAAAGGGAGAGTCAAGTCCGTTTCAATATTAGCAACAACACTAGCGACTCAAACAACAGTGAGTCCAGCGCTCAGTCGGAGAGGTCTGACACCAAGGAGTCGGGCTCTGAGGAGCAGAATCATGTACTCGGTCAGGGAGACCAGGATAGAGTGGCCGAGGATAAACAGGGAGACGTCACGGATAGTGGACATGATAAGGGTGGTGAGTTGGTTTATTTTAGATTGGTAAATTATTTTACATATAGGTTAAAATTAAAATAGATATTATGATCGTTTTCTACATAGATATGTCGAAACTATTACATTAATACTAGAATTTTCAATATTACACACTATCCCGAATGTCATTTTACAATCGATAACGCATCCTGTCCGCAGAGTGGTCGGGGCAGACGACGCCGGAGACGTACAGCACGGCGGACACGGCGGACACCACGGACACGGCGGACACGGCGGACACCAGCGCGTCCGCCGAGAGCGGCTACGGCAGCGACGAGCGCGGTGACGACGTGTTCCAGCTGGGCGCGCTGCGCGACGTGGCGCAGCTGCGCCTGCTGGGCCGCGCCGACGTGTCGGCCTATAGGTGCGCGCACACGCGCACACGCACACCTAACAACGGATATGTGCACGTTCACAGACAATTACTCAAACATACACATGCACACATTTTGAATTAAAATTAAATATGTAAGTCCGGTAAAGGAAAACAACGCGAGGAAACCTGCATGTCTGAGAGAACCTAGTAAGTTATCGTGGTGGACTATGGCCTGAACCCCCTCGTACTGAAGGGAGGCCCACGCCCAGCATTGGGACGTTAAAAAGAGCTGACTACAATACAATACATGTAAGTGCATGAGTAAATGCCCACCGGTTTATAAGGCTGTACATTCCTCACGCATACGAGTATGTATTCAATTCACTAGTAAACCAATATTTCTCAGGAATACAGCTTTCCCTTACCGTACAGTTTTTTTTATTAAATTAATGCTAAATTTTTTTAATGTCAATTTGGACCCTGATGGGGGATACAAACGCATCGCATTAAAAAACAAACGCGCGGCTATGCCTTATGTAGCAATGTACCTATATTTACACGGTTGTATTAAAGCTATATTTCTAAAGGGATATTGGCCACTCTTGTGCTCCTCCGCAAACCCACACAACACATGCATATTCGCATACACAAGCACTCACTCTCACATAAAGTATCCCTTTATCATTTGTTCATGTCTAGTGACGTCTAGTTAAACGAAATAAACTGTTTGTGCGGCTTACTTTAGTTTGTCAAAATTCTGTTATTAGCTTTTCTTTAGACTTAAACATTTCGTATTATTTCAACGGTTGTTAATTCATTTCGCCCAGTGAATGTTGTAAAAATTTACTTAATAATAAAAAAAAACACTTCTAACTACATATTTGCATAAAACAATATTCGTAAACAGGTACTACCATTACGAAATGCTCAAGACCCAGGGCGTGCGACGCTGCATGATGTTCATGGAAAAACTTTGCCATAAACTGTTGAACAAAGTTTACCTCACCCTGCTGGAGCCTCCTGTAAGTTTATATGGTTTTATAATCTAAACTAGTGATGTAATAAATGATTTTTCACATTCGTGAATGCGAATGTGAAAAAATATGCGAATATTCGTTACATTACTACTGTATACTATGCATTACTCATTTTTATAAAAAATATATAGTTGTAATGAAGAACACGTAAATTAAATGTAATAATATTCAATATTAATTATAAGATCCAGAATATTTAGTTAATTGTATTAAAAATGATACGTTTTTTTTGTGACCTCGAGGTCACAAAAAAATAAAACGTATCGTATGTATTTTGTTTGTATTGTGTCTTGTTTATTTAGAAAAAAAAATTGAGACAGTAAATGTTTTTAACTTGAATATATATTTAATCTGTAAATATTAACTGGACCCAGTTATGCAAAAAACAGCCATGTGCGTAAAAGTACCGACAGGGTTATAAACATTTTTCTGTCGATAGTTGCATTTTAAATAAAACTATCTTTTCGGATTTTGTCGCGGATTTACTTGGATTTTTGTTTCCCGACGTTTCGAATGCTTTACAGCAATCATGGTCACGGGAGAGACTCGATAGTTGCACTTGGGTTATGTTTTGTTTTTCTGGTTATTTTAAAATTGAACAATATTTATATAAGTATTGTTTATTTTTATAATTATTTTATTTTTTATAATAAAATGCTTATAACTCTGTTGGTACTTTTACGCACATGGCTGTTTTTTGCATAACTGGGTCCAACTTTACTTTATATACACTTAATGATGACTGATTAGAACGAAAATTATTAAAAAAATGGTTTGAATATTCTGTTTAAGAATGATGAGTTTGGGGAGGAGGAATATTTGCCAGAGGTGTTCGAAGATACCAAAGACAATAAGACTGATCTACTGAATGAGGATGCTAAGAGACAAGAGGCATATGAATACAGAAGGTATATTACTAGCATGTAGTTGCTTGCTTGTATTTCTATTTAATCTTTTACTACTTATATAAAAAATAGGGGTTGAACTTTAACCCCAATTTTTAATATAAGTATGGATCTATGCTCCTATGCATACTTATCAAGTTATGTTTTTTTAATGAACACAATAGTAATTCTATTTTATTTTGCTACCTTGCCTAATTGGATAATAATCCAATGAGTCAGTCAAAAATCCACAAACAGACTGACAATAAAAAAAGGTCGAAAGGTTTCCTGGCTTACGCGATAGGAGCGTAGCTCCTTTCGCTCTCTGACCGTGGCCGTAGATTAGATCATAAAAATTATTGCGATCGAGGGTATCATAAACATTTAGCAACATACTTTGTACATGTTGAAGCTAATCGAAGAAATGCCTGCACAGAGTGCACACGAATTTCTTACATCACACATTCCTTAACACTTATGATCGCCTGGTACTTTTTTCACGAGTACTAAACCTCAAGGAATGTCCATTATATACATAATATGTAGGGCCCAGTTATAAGAGTGCATACGAATGAGGGTTTTCGATACTTTTTCTGCCACTAGGCGGCGCTTCGTAGGCGTCAGGTCCAAACAGCTGTCAAATAGCACAGAGTCGTAGGTAATGAACATAAATTATTGAAATTCTATTGTATTTGGAAGTGTTATTGATTTTATTATGGATTACGGTCAGAAGAAGATCGCTGAACTGAAGATTGAGCTCAAAAAAAGGGGCGCAAAAGTCACTGGTACAAAGGAAAAGCTCATTGAAATGTAGGTAACGTAACGTACTAGAATTTGTTAACACAATTCGATTTCGTTCTTTAACTACTAAATTGCAGTTATTTGTGTTTTAGTGAGTTTTAGTTGATTAATGTATATTATACATTTCAGGCTAAATGACTATGACAGAAACAACAACTTTAAACCAAATAAAAATAATAATTCTAACCTCTCAAGTAAGATTCTTTATATGATAGAATGGCCAGAAGAAAAGTTATACAAAAGTGTGGATTCAAAAACAGTGTTACCCAATTTTGATATAATTAATATAAATACGTATTTCCTTGAATTGTATGAAGAGGGCATAGGAATGTCAGATTATTCTGCAGTGCTCAGAAGAGGTTATAATATGCTGCAAAATAACTACCTGCTAGCATTAGTAACCGCAAATACTAGTACACATATATTTTTCAAAGGTCAAGTTCATTCAGAAAATACAAAATCCCTCACTTATTTTGCTTCCATTGCCAGTTCATTGGACCTGACGCTACAGTCCTGCCATCTGACGGAGATCATTTCAGAAAACCCTCATTACTTACGACATGCACTCCTTAAAACTTATGATCGCCTGGTACTTTTGTCAAGAGTACCAGGGGACCACAAATCTTAAGGATTATCCGTTATATGTGTATAAAGGGCCCCGTCATGAGAGTGCACATGAATTAATTATTACATGCACTCCTTATCACATGCTCTTCTAGTACTTGTAATGATTTTTTAGAAGACGACTTAGTAAATAAAAAGTGTCGTGTAGGTCGCAATTCCGCAAACAAACAAATCTATTGTACGTATATGTTTGTGTCTGTTTATTTGTCAACTTCCAGACTATACAAAAACAATAAAGTGTTTGTGGTCAGTAATGTGTGTGTGTCTGGGTTTGCAGATACGGATGCCTGTCGGCGGAGTGCCGCAGCATGGCGCTGCCGTCGTACCGCGCGCACTTCCTGCTGCTGGCCAGCATCTGCATGGAGGCCGTGCATGACTATCTGGCGCTGCGCATGGAGGGCACGCCCGAAAACCCCTCCTGTCTCACCATCAAACAGGTTCTATACTATCATGCTTTGTCTAAGTTTTTCGTGGATGGCAGACATGTGTAATGCAGGAGTAAATTTAAAAAACTGAAAAGATGAAATTTACCTAATTTCTTAAATAAATTTGAAAATATTGAGCTAATAATGGGTTTTACAGATTCTATTTGGTATCTTTAGATATTTTGTCTTTGTTTCGTTTAATGTTATATAAGTTGAATATTATCACCACAAACGTATACGATAATAAAACAAAGTGAAGTAGTCACAGTAAAATCGCATTCTGATAATCCATACAATTTAACAGACACACCCGACTCATACTGACTTTTATATAACAGTTGGAAGACACCTTTAAAGTTGACAGATATAACTCTTAGTTGCCACGAGATGCCACTCGAGTGATATAACTTCAAAAATGATTTCGCCTACATTTTCCTTAAATAATCCCTACATAACATTTCTGTTAATGTCAAAAGGTGATCGGCTAAAAGTGAACATTCCTCATTCCAGCTGATACATGAACTCAAAGAGGGCATAGAGATCGCGGCGGAGATGCGCGCGTCGTTCTCGCGGCACGCGGCGGCGGCGCTGCGCGGCGCGCCGCGTGCCCCGCAACTGCGCGCGCTGCTCGACACCTACGATGCCACCGTCGCCACCGCGCTGCAGGTTGGCCTGTTTTATTACATAATATACTCTACTAGCGACTCACCTCGCTCCTTGGGTTCGCCCCTAGCTTGCTTCCCAATACAAACTTTCATCCCCATATTCACCACCTTAAAGGATGGTTTTCGGGATAAAAAATATCCTATGTTTGTCCCAGGGTCTCATACTATCTTCTTACCAAATTTCGTCTAAATCGGTTCAGTAGATCCGGACATTGCCCCCTACAACATCACAAACTCACAAACTTTACCTCTTTATAATATTAGTATAGATTCATTTTTTGAACCCTGTTTGATATTGTAATGTTGAGAAGATATTGTAAAAGTGTATTGATATATTTTTTTTAATAAACTCAAAGATAACTGAAATTTCAAATTACGGCAATTAATGTGACTTTTATTTAATAATTTTGCATTACCGTTCAAACTAACCAATCATAATGGTATCGCAGAAGTACCTGAGCTACCTGAAGATAATGTCAGAGAAGGAGTCGCTGTCGCGCGCGCAGCTCAGCGGCGAGTGGGCCTTCACGCAGCGGCTGTGGGCGCGCGCGCTGCCCGCCGCCGCGCTCGCGCCGCCCGCCTTCGCGTGAGACACGCACACCTCTTATACATACATACCACTCACATGGCCTCTGACTTATTATTATACTTACGTATTACTAGGAACACTACACATTACTGACTTCTCATTATACTCACATATTATTAGAAACACCATTACAAACTAACTCACATCTATTGTACTGACATATCTCTATAAATACCACCCATTAGTAACTAACTTACGTTTTACTGTACCGACATATCACTAGAAACAGCTCCCATAAGTAACGGGTTACTACACTGAAATATCCCAATTCTCATTTGACACGCATATATTACGGTCTAGCATGTACGACTATAGATCATAAGATCCTGGGTTCGAGTCCCCAGTTGAACCAAATTTATTTATTGACTTTCTGTTAGCAATGTCCCATTTCTGTGCCTCCGAGAGCAAAAAGTCGTCATACCTGCGTCTGATCTCACACCGCGAGTCTCGTCTCTCTGGAGAGTGAGAGTGACAGGAATAGAGAGTGCAGGTTGTATTAGCCAACGTGGCCGGAACAATAAAGAGAACGTTATAATACTTGACGTCACTTGAGCGCGGCTGGAACGATTAGGCTAAAACATAAATTAAAAATAAAGTGAATTGTGTTTTTCAGTGACATGGCATGTAATCAACTGAACAGGATACTAAAAAGATTCGAGGAGAAATTCGAGCAGGTTATGGAGTTAGAAGCTGGTGATCATTCAGAATACGATGATGAGAGGTAATTAACATCTACCTTTGTTTAATTATTATTATGACTTTTTTTTATAAATATGTTGTTACATTTACAACAAAACTAATTTTATTTGCGAAGGAAATTATATTGCCTAAAATGTGCGCGTGTTTGTGTGTATGCTTTATTAACTTTAGGCTGTAACGGCTGAACTATGGATCTGGATAATATATAGGCTACTGTTAATGTTTAAAACGTGCTTTTTCGCTGTCTGCTCCCCGCTGTATGAATAAACCAGTGACATTGCCTATCTTATGAATAACACTGGTATATAAGTATTAAAAATTATTTTTTGCGATCTATTCTTGCGTATTTGTTAAAGCCAGTGACGTCATTTATCTCCTAGATAACACATAAGTTACTGTTAGTATTAAAATGGTTTTTTACGCGGTTTATCTTGCGTGTATAACTGAAACCAGTGACGTCACTCATCTATCGCCGCGTGTGTAACTAAAACCGTTGACGTCACTCGTCTATCCCTGTGAGTTTAACGAAAACCAGTGACGTCACTCATCTATCGCCGTGTGTATGACTAAAACCGGTGACGTCACTCATCTATCGCCGCGTGTATAACTAAAACCGGTGACGTCACTCATCTATCGCCGCGTGTATAACTAAAACCGGTGACGTCACTCATCTTTCGCCGCGTTTATAACTAAAACCGGTGACGTCACTCCTCTATCCCTGTGAGTTTAATGAAAACCAGTGACGTCACTCATCTATCGCCGCGTGTATAATTAAAATCGTTGACGTCACTCGTCTATCCCTGTGAGTTTAACAAAAACCAGTGACGTCACTCATCTATCGCCGCGTGTATAACTAAAACCGGTGACGTCACTCGTCTATCCCTGTGAGTTTAACGAAAACCAGTGACGTCACTCATCTATCGCCGCGTGTATAATTAAAACCGTTGACGTCACTCGTCTATCCCTGTTAGTTTAACAAAAACCAGTGACGTCACTCATCTATCGCTGCGTGTATAACTAAAACCGGTGACGTCACTCATCTCTCCTCGCGCCCATAACCAAAACCAATGACGTCACTGAACTAACCCTGCGTATTACTGCCTTAACGGTCTAGTGGCTAGCATGTATGGTTGCAGATTTCTGTTAAGAAAATCTCGGTAACAACCCGAAGTTGGGAAATTGGCGGTGTTCATTAATATGTTTTTTCTTTGTTTGTGTTTTTCTTGTTTTCTTGTCTTTTCACCCCGACACCACTCTAACCGCGAATGTCGAAGTGTCGTCCTTTCGGATTTTGAGATTGACTAGAATAGGGAGTGTACGTTGTGTTTGCGCACATACCGACACGCGCTGCACTATAATATATCTTGCGCTGTTAGTCAGATATCTAATCTCAGTGAGATTGATTTATTTATTCATTTAAAACTGCAAATGTCTAACAAAAACAACGATATAACAACTACATTCATATAAAACTGCATAGCAGTTACGTATTAGCGCTCACCTCACAAGCGTCGTAAATTACAATAAAACTTAACGCTATACATATTAAACAAAAGTAAGCACAGCAACAAAATCAAAATATCTGATTAAATAACAAAAAAAAAATACCACGACAAGAACAAAAAAAAATATTGACAAGAGTTATGATGACATAGATTATATATTATCTACATATGTATGTTTGCGAGCACGCGCGTGTTTGTATGATGTGTGTTTGTGTGATTATATGTGTGTGTAGATTGGCAGCCGCGGCCTATATCAGTTAGTACTTAGGAGGACACTAGCGACTCATCCTCGCTTCGCTCGGATTCGTTTTAAGTTTTTGAGTGGAACCATAATTCTTTTTCTAAAATAAAAGTAGCCTATGTTACTCCCTATAACATCAGCTATTTTCCGGTGAAAGTCTTGTCAAAATCAGTCCAGCCGTTTCAGAGATTATCTGGAACAAACAGACAGACAAAAGTTTTAAAAAGTGTGTTTTCCTTATAAGTACCGTATGTTATTTCATATGCATTTAGTAAAACGCTGTTATTTTGACACTACAAACGGACACTTCAATTTTATTTATGTATATAGTTCATTACCCCCCTGTGTCCCTCCCCAGGCACACGGTGTACGCGCTGTGCCGTGAGACGCAGTGCATCTACGCGAGCGAGCGCGAGGCGGCGCTGCAGGCGGCGCACTGGGCGCGCCACCTCGTCGCGCGCCTGGCGCCCGCGCACCGCCCGCACGCCGCGCGCATCTTCGTCAGTGCATTCACTACGCACTTTAATTGCTTTTATTCACTTTTTAGTTATGTAATACTAGCGAGTCACCCTCGCTTCGCTAGGGTTCGTCCCTAGATTGCTTCCCCATACAAAATGACATTCTCATTTTCACTCTCTTAACGGGTGATTTCCCAGGGTCTCAAACTATCTTCTTACTAAATTTCATCTAAATCGGTTTCATAGGTCCAGAGATTACCCCCTACACCGTCACTAACCCACATCCTCACAAACTCACAAACTTTACCTCTTTATAATATTAGTATAGATGAATTAATTAATTTTTAAGGTCCCGTACCTCAAAAGAAAAAAAAGATAGCCCTTGTAAGATTACCCAATGTGGTGGACTATGGCCTGAATCTCCCTAGCTGAATAGAAACTACGCCAGCAAACTGCGGAAGAATAAAAAAAGGCTGAATGATTAAATTAAATTAAACAAACTAATAAAGTTGTAACTTTTAAACAAAACTATGTTTTCGTATTTTTTTGCAAACTTATTTTGATGTCTCAAAGGCACTATATAGTTGTTACATATAGCCTACCCACAAATAACAAAATCAATTCAAAAAATTGATTAATGGCACCAAAGTAGTTTAGTAGTAGTTAGTAGTTTTTTAACTTTAAACATTTTTATAATTTTAATTAGTTTTATAAAAAACGTTATTAATTAATAATCTATATTTAGAGTTGCCATTACTATATTTATAAACATAAAAAAAAATATAATGTTAATTATTCAAGCCACAGTATTGTTCTATGTGTAATTTAAGGAGTTAACATGAATTATAATATAATATGTTATAGTAACTTACAAATTGTCTTTCTTATCCATTCTTACATTAAATATATGTTACAGAACAGTCTAATGGCAATGAGAGACACGCTGGTAAAGCAAACGTCCGTCATACTGGAGCGGAGCCGGCCGTTGGCGCTGCCCTCGCAGGACCTGCCCAAGGACATACGGGATAGTCTCGGCGCCAGAGTGCGGGAGTTGCTGCTGCAAGTGTACAAACTTGGCTTTGAGGTAAGTGCGATAGATTAAACTAGGTTAAGCTAAAAGGCAATGATAGCTCGATGGTGACGCGCTCGATTGGGAAACCGAGTGAAGCGGATTCAAATACCGTGTCTCGAACCTTGTGGAATCATTTCCAACATGAATACCACCTGTCTTACGGTGAAGGACATACATCATAAACTTGTGTGTCTCAGAGAACCTAGCAAGTTTTCAAAGTTACACGTGAAGACATGTGTGCAGTTTGCCAACCCGCATTTGACCAGCGTGGTGGACTATGGCCTGATCCCCCTCGTATTGAAGGGAGGCCCACTCCCAGCAGTGGGACGTTAAAAAGGGCTGAATACAATATCAATGGAACGGGAGACTTTGAGAAGAAGGACATCATAGATAGGATGGAGATATCTACGACAGATCAAAAGAATGCCAGAGGGTTAACCTTCGTCAAGGTCACATTCAATAATGTTTATTAATATTTGATTTATCTCATTTTGTCAAAACTGTCTTATATTATGTGACCGAATGTTTCCTTACGCGGAAGGTTAATAATAATTATTGAATTTAATTTATATTTTCTTTCTATTCTGTTTTATAGAAATGTCTAATTCAGTAGGAAAATGTGACTTATTCGGTACAATATAGTTATCCTTCTAATATTTTGTCCCTCTTTTATGCAGTAACGGCTTGAGGTGATTTCTTGTAAACAAACTTTTTGATGTTGAAAGTATTATAGGATGCTTATTATTCCGGCACATGAAGTGGTTCTGTGGATTGAGTAAATCAATATTAAACCCATTAGTTTCTTTACAAAATACACCAATGAATTTAAAATATTTTTGTAAAGTTATAAAAACAAGTGTTTTGATGATATTATGTTTAATATTAGGTGTTTTAGTATAAGGTTATGCTCCTCTGAAGATCTGCAACTTTTGGTTTCACAGGCCCGTTTTCTAAGGAATATATATTATGTATTTTCAATGTAATTTTGTTATCAATCGAATCGCATCTTATTATATTAATTAATTGATTATTATTAGTGTATTTTAGAATTATTATTTTTTTTTAATTTAAATTCAAATAATAAAACTGTTTTTAATGTATTGATGTAGATGTTAGTCTTTTACCTATATTAAAATTAAGCGTTTTATTAAGACAATGTGTATATAATATCATCTACATTGTCTTTAGTCTCGTATGGTATGTTATTGAATATTCTAGTGTTGTTATTGTCATCAAAATTGATGTAAATAATGTTTGTCTTTTTCGTCACATTATTATTTTTGTCATATGAAGTTTGTCACGTGATTTTTGTTTGACGTCCAACGTGTTATTTATAGAATGACAACAATTTGCATGTATATGCATATATTGCACCTGGGCTTACTATTAACCATAACATTTTTTTTACCTATTTTTATGTATTATAAAATGCATGCACATGCACGCACAAGTTATAGTATATCGTGGGTTTCACATTTACTGAAGAACTGAATACAATTTTTATATGAAATTTAAAGTTTTAATATAACATGCTATTTTGTATGCTCTCGCATGTTTTGTAAGTATTCCGAAGTTACTAGAAAAATTAAAATAATTTTGCAAATAATAGTATTTTTTGTACAAATACTTCAAATTGCACCATATAAAGCGAAAAAAAGGCTTTATTATTATTTATTTTCACATAAATGAATGACTTCAGTGACCAATCTTGCGGGTAAAAGATTAAGATAGACAGTAGATAATCTTCTATATAAAATCTTAGAAATCATAGGGATTCCCCCATGTACATACAAACCCCACCCGTCGAGTACAGTGCACCCGCCCCCAGCCCCGCATCGCATGTTGCAGCTGCACATGGAGCTGCACAAGTCGGCGCAGACGCGGCCCCGCGCCGCGCGCGCGCGCCCCGCCTCGCTGCAGGCGCCGCGCGCCGCCGCCCCGCGCGCCGCGCGCCGCCCCGACACCATCGTCGTGCACGCGCATAACCCGGTACCCGCCGCCCCCCACCGCTCGTGCCCCGATGGGTGTCTGTTTTGGCTTTGCTTTGTTTTGTCGTGGTGCTGTCATGTCACCCGAGGCTATAGGGCATGCATATAACCCGATACTCGCCACACCCCGCTCGTACTTTATTGAGTGTCTGTTGTGGATTTGCTTTGTTTTATCATGACATTATCGCTCAAGAATTTATGACACACGCATAACCCAATACTGCCCACCCCTCATGCTCTGTTGAAGATCTGTTATGGCTTTGCTTTACCATGTTTGCCTTGTATTGTCATAGTCGCTAGCGCGGAAACTATATAGTACGCGTAGAACTACTCATCACCACCGTTGGTGGTCTATTGGGGATCTTGTGTTACATTGATTTGTTTATGTTAGAAATGGGTTTTTGTGGTGTTGTTAAATTCGTAATTTTGTGGTATTGCCGTAGTGGCCTCGTGACATTTTCTGTGCACGTGCCTAATCCAGTACTCTTTAATCACCCCCACTCTTAGTATATTAGGAGTCATCTGGTTGCTTATTTTACTCTGTGTGTTTAGATATTCAACGATGTTCTCATGGTGTTTTAATAGCTCGTTGCATGTACATAACCCGTTAAACCGATTACTTCACATTCCTGGTGTATTCGAGGTCTTCTAGTGAGTTTGCTCTGGTATTGTTTTTTTTACGTTGAGGATTTTAGGTGTGATTTCCTAGTGTTATCATAATCACCCTAAACCATCGTGTATAACGCGGTACTCACTGACTATCCCTCCACTGGTGACTAATGACCTACAGGATCTACTGGCGCTGTTCCATTGATTTTGCTTTGTTCTTTTAAACAGTAACGTTTTTTTGTGTAATTTTGTCCACACTCATTGGCATACTGTTCAAGTCCTAGCGCACAGTTGGCTTAGTGGACTGATGGTAATATTTTGAACTATGGGGTTTTTGTTTTTTCTAATGTGTTATCATCAAACGAGAACTAATATGGTATAAGTACACATAAATTGTAAATACTTTAAGATGGTGGTTGCTTATAAAGAATTTGTGTATCGTTGCATTTTACTGTGTCTTGTTGCATATTGCTTTTTATAAATAATGCTATAATTATTTAATAATATGCTTTCATATTTATGTATGTATGTAAATCACATGTTTAAAAATTAAACGATCCTAATGAGTAAGAATAATTGTTTAATCTTAATAGATTAAGTATTTTGAAGTGTAATTAATTAAATTAATTGTATATTTGTTTAATACTTTCTTAGATTTACGCGAATATTTGACATTTTAAATAAAACTATCTTTTCGGATTATTTCGCGGATTTATTTTGATTTTTGGTTCCCGACGTTTCGAATGCTTTACAGCATCCATGGTCACGGGAGAGACTGAGGTGTTACATGTCTTGGAGGTATAGTTGTTATAGACAGCCTACCCACAATTAACAAAATGAAAATTGCAAAAATTACCTTACAATATTTTTTAACTTTAAACATTTTTATAATTTTAATTAGTTTTATAATTGAATATGGAATATTATTTATTTAATTTTTGCTATTATTATTATAATTATTACAATTTTAAAAATATTAATTAGTAATCTATATTTAGTGTTGCCATTATTATATTTATAACCATAAAGAAAAAATATAAAATATAGTGTTAATTATTTAAGCCATATAATTGTTCTATGTGTAATTTAAAAAAGTTAAAATTAATTAAGGATAATAATTTTTTAATTTAGTTTGCTATTATTTAAAAAGACAACTTACTAAGCAACACTATTACTATATACTTTTACAAATGAAAAATATTAATCTGATATGCTGTCATTTTGATCTACACAGTTAGAACTTACTACATCTACCTGTCTGTTATGTTTATATTTATCATTTGATTTTATTATATTAATAACAGGATCCCATGACGATGGTAGCACCCAGCCATTCCCTATTGAAATTTGGATGTTTTTTAATTTCTATGGCTTCTCGAATCATTCTAGGGCGATATCGGTTTTCTTTCGCCAAGATTTGAGGTCTATCGAAGCGAATATAATGGCTTGGGCGGTCCTGGCTATGTTTGCAGACGGCAGATGTTGTATTGCGACCGTGCTTCACATCAGCTATGTGTTCTTTGACCCGGGTTCTAATGGATCGCTTTGTTTGTCCGATGTAAGAGAGCCCACAATCAAGCTTGTAAACTCCTGCATCTTGTAGAAGGATGTGGCACTTGACAGGTGGTAGGAACTGACTAATTTGCTTTGGCGGCTTGAAGTAAGTTTTAATTGAAGCTCGCTTTAGCATGTAGCCAAAAATATTGTAAGGTAATTTTTGCAATTTTCATTTTGTTAATTGTGGGTAGGCTGTCTGTAACAACTATACCTCCAAGACATGTAACACCTCAGTCTCTCCCGTGACCATGGATGCTGTAAAGCATTCGAAACGTCGGGAACCAAAAATCAAAAAAAAATCCGCGAAATAATCCGAAAAGATAGTTTTATTTAAAATGTATATTTGTTATAGATTAAAATACATAGTATGTAAGTATATATATTAAATGATTAGTATAGGTACATAGGTAGACAAAAACTACTGTGTGAAAGTGCATTATGAAACTTCAAGTCAATACCAAATGAAAAATCTTACCAAATATTACTTTCTGAACGTCTTAATTATTTTCTAGAATTTAGTTTTGGATAATAAATATTTTTATTTGATTATTTTATTTTAAATTAAAAATACCAATATATTGGGCATCATGTTGCTTTCTTGTTATATGCTTGGCTATGGATTTTGAGTCAAATTTAAAATTATAAAATATTGCATAAATAGGGCATTGTGTGCTTGTTTTTGGGGGAAATAAAAAACACATAAAATTGTTGTTTTTTAACAAATATGTATTGTATTTGTTGCAGATCCACAAAGAGTTACATAGATTCGTAAACGATTCTCCCCAAAGCAAATCTCCTCGGTCCCTCATGGCGGGGTCGCCGCGTAGGATGAAGTTCCTGAGATCGGAGAGTATAGGCGAAGACGTTCTCGATTACACTTACAGTGTTACAGCGGTGAGAGTTGATAGTGGATAATGTATATTATGATTATTATATTTTGATATAACTTTCCTTTAAGGCAGTGGTAGCACAGTGGTAACGCGCTCGCTTGAGAAACCGAGTAACATGGGTTCAAATCCCCGGGTCTCGCATCTCTGAAACATTCATATGCGAATTAATTCCAACATGAAATTAATGAATTATAAATTAACACTTGTCTTACGGCGAAGGAAAACATCGTGAGATTGTGAGGAGATTTGCATGTCTGAGGGAACGTAACTAGTTTTAGAAAGACATGTTAATTCTGTCAATCCATATTTGGCCAGCGTGGTGGACTATTATATGAACAGATTCCTCGAGTTGGCAACCGATTTTCTTGATAAGTTTTAGTGTTATCAATAGAAAAATAATGGAAACTTGCTGTTTAAATAGATAGGTAAATGCTATTAGGTAAGATTTTCTTCAAATTATCAATAATAATTACGTTTCAATTTTGACCACTAGATTTATTTATTGATTCATTCTATAGCCCAATTTCAAATAAATAAATACAAGCTATCTAACATCAAACTATGATCCTTGACAGTAGATCTATTTGAGATTGAACAATGTGGCTGGTCGTAGACGCTAGTATTAAAATACGACTCACAACATTCCAGGCACCGACCAAGCCGGACGCCCCCGCGGCGGAGGCGGAGGGCGCGGAGTGGGCGGCGCGCGTGGCGCGCGCGGTCATCGAGTTCGCCAAGTGTTGGATGCACTTCGTGGTGGAGCGCTGCGACCGCGGCCGCGGCCTGCGCCCCAGGTACGGGGACACTTATACTATAAGCATTGCCTCGTCAAGTTGTTTTGTTGGCTCCAAAGCCAGGTTAATGATTAGACTATTACGTAATAGAAGTGTATGAATCATTGAAAACAGCTCTTGCTATCCGTTGAAACAGCGATAATCATCTTTGAAAAGAGCTATTATTTCGTCGCCCCATGTCTAGTCTCTCCCATGATTATGATTGCTGTAAAGCATTCGAAATATCGGGAATCAAAAATTAAAATAAATTCGAGAAAAAATTCAAAAAGTAATATTTGTATTTCTTTATTAATAATTGTATATTATATTTTTTCTTAAAGATGGGCAAGTCAAGGTTTGGAGTTCCTGATGCTGGCCTGCGATCCGTGCAATACTAAACATTTAAGTGATGAGGAATTTGAAGTAAGTTAACAAAAATAAAACCATTCTAATGTTATAAATGTGAAAGTGTGTTTGTGTTTGTTTGTTTGTTTGTTTGTTTGTTTGTTTGAATATCGTCTAAAATTAAAAACCTTTGAATATAATCAATTTTGTATTGAAATATATTTACTAATATATACAGGGTGGATTTTTGAGACGGGACAGAAAGGGCAGATACCTTAACTTCTATAGTTATAGGAAAACGTTCTTAGGAGACCAACCATCACTTTTTGACATATTTTGATAAACGGTCCCCATAGTCTTTTGATTCCTACATGAAATAGGATCGATTGACATAAAAAAATCTTTTTTGGTCCTTTTGCATTTTTTTCGCTCTCTCCTATCTATCTCCTAGGAACGTTTTCCTGAACTATAGCAGTTAAAATACCTGCCCTTACTGTCTCGTCTCGAAAATCCACCGTGTATAATGATAATGTACAAAATGTCCAGTTTTTAAGTGTAAAATGACTATGTATATTTTTCGTGTGTAGGAGCTGAAGCAGCTGATGGACGGATGCATCTCGCACGTGATCGGGTCACGCGGCGCGCCGCCCGCGCCCGCGCCGCCGCACCGCCAGCGCGCCAAGATACATGTGCGTACTCGACAGCTCGCTTACGATATTGTTTTATATTATTACGGCAGGCAGGCACTGGTAGTTTGGGAAACCGAATGAAGCTGGTTTACACCGGGACCTTACATCTCTGATGTTTTCATATGCGAATCATTTCTAACACGAGTATTGAGTATCATTTGTTTTACGGTAAAGGTAAAAGTTGTGATGGAAAACTTACCAATTTGTTGAAAGATAAGTGAACTTCGCCAACCTTCATTTAGCGTGGTGGATTAAAGTCTGGTCCCCATCGTAACTGAAATACATACATTATTATTGTCACTTATGCTGCCTAATTTTTTGAGTATTGTAATGATAATGATACATTGCTTTATTTTTCAGTATTTAAATACTTTGTTAAAAAAACTTTTGTTTGTTTAATTTCGAATTTGTTCTAAAATCACACATTGGCCTTTATATTATATGAATGAAATTTCGTATTACCTCTAGTGGATTTGGGGAAAAGTAAAAAAGTGTTTCTATATTAATTTTAAGAAATAGTGATTAATTATGTTAATGAACTGAACACAGAGTCCGCTGTCGAGCACGAGCAGCGTGAACAGCCGCGATGGCAACCCGCCCACGCCGCCCGCCGAGCCCGCCGCCCCCACCGCCCCCACCGCCCCCACCGCGCACAAGTTTGAAGATACCGGTAAGAGATGATCATAGTTTAGAAGACCGCGCGTAGTTGAAATGAAACTTCTTATTTGATAGAGAAAAACGTATTCAATGTGCGCATTTGATTCGTCTAACCACGATCATACGTTTCGTGTCCAAAGTGCACGCGGCCTAATGTTTTCTAATCTAATTATGTGTTTCTTATTTATGGAAACTTAATTGGTAAATGCGTGTGTTTTATTATTGTAAATTGTATGTCCTGTTATATTGTTTGTTTCCCTAAAATAATTAAAATTAAATACCACAGCCTACTGATCCATACAGTCGTCCAAAAGGGCTACAAGACAAAGCTATCGTGGCACTGTCATTGTTAATTAATAAGTTTTTTTTTCCATTAAAGTAAAATGAACGTTGAAGGTTTTACTGTAAATTGCCACGAGATAGTGCTACTGCGTTTTAGTTTTAGCGCGTTATGAAAACTGCACTTGATAGTATTTCCGCTAAATTCAAGTGGTGATCGCAAAGTGTATGGGTCGTTATACTGCTATAATAGTATCTAGAATAAATGTGATACACCAATAAATCAATACATTTTGACAACCTTTTCGTAATTATATTTTTTTTCTATACAGCTCGCAATAAACGCGTATTAGAAGCAGTACGTCAGCTTGATGAGGCTCGAGATGAAAAATTACAAAATTCTAAGATGGTCGGCAAGGTTTTGGAGTCTGCCACCAGGTTTTACGAACCGAAACTACGGCAGGTGACCTTCAAATGGCAGAGAGGGTTGAAGATCGGCGCGGGGACTTTCGGAAAGGTTTATTTCTCACATATTATATTAAAATTAGAATTTGAAAGTCAAAAATATTTATTTAGAATTGATTGTTAATTAGTATTTTTTTTAAATGACGAATATTGAATTGATTTAAAGTTTAAATGCGATATGTGGGTTTTAATTTTTAATTAACTTAATACACGACACAAACACGTTTACATATATCAACTATCTTGTTTGACGAGATCCTTTTCTCAGACATTTTCTCACACATTTCTGTTTTACAGAAAATGTCTGTCACATTGCTTCTGCTTAATCTCGGTGATGTCGAGTAGTCATGTCACTGGATTATGAGATTGACAGAAAAAGAGAATGCGTTTATGTTTGCACTATAATATATCTTACGCACATTGCCAAATTATAATGAAATGTCGTGAATGTCACTTGACCTTTACTAACTAAGACGTCTAATACAGTCACCTTGCTACAATTGTGTTTGTGCGCGTGCAGGTGTACACGATCGTGAACACGGAGAGCGGGCAGCTGCTGGCCATGAAGGAGCTGGGCGTGGGCGCGGGCGACCGCCGCGCGCTGCAGCGCGCCGCCAACGAGCTGCGCGTGCTGGAGGGCGTGCTGCACCCGCACCTCGTGCGCTACTACGGCTGCGAGATGCACCGCGTCAGTGCACACCTATAGCGTTACATATTTTAAAACAAAGTTCTCCGCCGCGTCTCTCTGTTTGTCTGTCCGTTCGCGATAAACTCAAAGAGTGGTTCTTGAGCGAAGGTTGACGTTGGCTAAAATATAACGATATTTGCTGGACGTGTCGAAATAAAAATAAGCCACCTGGGAGCTTTCAATGAAAACGCTGTCTAAACCCTTTATGATATAACAAAATAATGTATGGTGGAATTGTGTATCTTATATAGGTCTACAGAAAAGTCCCCGATGGCACATGTCTATCTCTTAAGAGTATCATACTATGTATATCCATTTTAATCTTTACATTGTATAAAACGAAGTCGTCTCCGCTGTCTGTTCGCTTAGATCTTTTAATCTACTCGACGGATTTTAATGCAGTTTATACCATCCCTAAAAGAAAAGACGTTATAATACAACCGCAACACAATAACTCATAGTACTTTACTATATATATACTCTCTATATACATCTTTTATAATATAAAAATGAATCGCTGAATGTGTTGGTAAGCGCAAATCTCGAGAGCAGCTGAATTGATTTCGCTAATTCTTTTTTTAGAATATTCCTTGAAGTACGAGGATGGTTCTTACTGAGAGAAAAATTTAAAAAAATGCCAGAAAAAGTCTAAAAACAACACTTTTCTATACTCCCATACAAAAGATTCGTAATAATACTTAAAAGTCAAATTGAACTTTAATACCATACTATAAAGTTTAAGTGTTAGTGGAGAGGTTCCGGGAAGAAAAAACAAGTGACGTTAGCATCGTATAAATATTAATGTCAATATTATTAACCAAAAAATATAAAATGTATATGGTTAACGCTGGTTAATAACTACATATTTATATCTAAAACGTACCTAGCGACAAACCCGAGCGAAGCGAGGGTGAGTCGCTAGTGTATAATAAATATATCTATTCCATACTAACAGCTAAAACGCACCTTGAGTCGAACGGTGAGTCGCTAGCAATATTTAATATGTCGCTTGTTATATAGGAGGAGATGTTGCTGTTCATGGAGCTGTGCGTGGAGGGGTCGCTGGAGGCGCTGCTGGCCACGGCGGGCGCGCTGCAGGAGCCCGCCGTGCGCCGCTACACGCTGCAGCTGCTCAGCGCCGTGGCCGAGCTGCACGCGCGCGCCATCGCGCACCGCGACATCAAGAGTACGACCTTAGCCATACGACATATAGTGCACTTTAGCTCGCACGCGGTCGACCACCCACGCAATAGCGACCCTAGCAGACACGCGGCATAGAATGCGCTTTGTGTGCTATACATACGGCTGAGCGCTCGATAATGAGATGACATAGCAGTAATACAATTGCCTATTGTGAATATCTTAGAAGTCTGGACTATTGTAAAGTTTCATTAAAATCCAATGAATATTTTAGAATATTATTTATTTATTTATACATATTTGTTGAATACATAATCAGTGGTAGCCTATTTAGAGCTTACTCGCTTTAGAAAATTAATGAAACACATTCGACCAATAACGGTCTAGAATCTTTTTGTACAGATAATAAATAGTTTATCTGTGTACTTAATTTTATTCAAATTAATCCAAGAGTTCCATCGTCGCATTTATAATGATCATGTTATTAAATTAATTACATATTTATACAAATAAATTAAATTAAAACGTCTGTATTATAAACTTTGTAAATACTAATACTATTTTTAATAAATAATACTATTTTGATATTACAAAGTCTTTTAATATGAAAATAATGCTATTTACTAAATGCATATGAAAATATATGTGGTACTTAAAAAAGAGAAATATTAAATTTGTCTGTCTGTTTGTTAGTATCTTAGGCTACTTTTATTTTAGAAAAAGCATTTAAAAAAATTAAATTCATAAAATTGCGAATAAATCCCACGCTAGTAAGTAAAAGCGAGGGTAGTTTTTTTATATAAGATTGTTGACATTCCAGGCGGCAACATCTTCCTCACGAACGAGGGCCACTGCCTGAAGCTGGGCGACTTCGGCTGCGCCGTCAAGATACGCGCCAACACCACGGCGCCCGGCGAGCTGCAGGGCTACGTCGGCACGCAGGGTGCGTGCATGTTATAATAATCATGTCGGACATTTTTTGTAGATCGATCGATTTCCTATGAGAATATGTATTCATTTTTGCATTATTCTAATCTATATAAATAATAAATATTATAAATGTGAAAGTTTGTGAGTATGTATGGATGTTTGTTACTATTTCACGCCAGAACGGCTAAACGGATCTAGATGGAATTTGGCACAGAGATAGATTGTGATCTGTAATAACACATAGGCTACTTTTTATACTGGAAAAATATACGGTTCACGGGGGTTTGATTTCTTTTTGATTCTGAAAGTATGTTTGAACGCAGTAAAATCTAAAAATTATGATATTTTCATACTACGTGACATTGGCGATATAATTTCTGCTCAACTGGCACGCTTTAAAGCCATTAACAAGAGAATTGAATTGATTTAAAAATCTCAAAGAACAAATATTTGAAACTACGTTAATACATACCAAACTTATGTTTTACTATCAACTCCAAAAAAAAAACCATTTTAAGTATAACTCCCCCGAGATATATAAATAAAATAAACAGATAAATCAGATGTTGCTATTTTTTGTTCTTATATTGTTATTTAAGAGCAAAAATTTAAATAACTTACTAAAGGTACTTCCAATGTAATGAATATCGACTATCCACCGTAGTAATAATGTCTCATCTCTAAGACGTACCGTTATTTGCATAACAAACCGCACCGCTTTTATTTTTATTCAATAGTTTCTTAGGATTACGCGAATAAATAAATAAATAAATAAATATTTAAATTCATTTTAAATAAAATTATCTTTTTGGATTTTTTCGCTTTATTTTGATATTTGATTCCTGAGTTTTATTTGAAATGCCAAATATTCGCGTAAATCTAAGTGAGTATTAGTGTATAATACGAGTGTACAATACGTTTCGCAGCTTACATGGCGCCGGAGGTGTTCATGAAGTCGTCGGGGCACGGCCGCGCCGCCGACATCTGGTCGCTGGGCTGCGTCGTCACTGAGATGGCCTCGGGGAAGGTACTGCACTGTGTTTATCTATAGTATTAGTATAGTATTCAGCCCACCACCGGTCGAAACCTGTCTTCCTTCAATACGAGGGGAATCAGGCCATAGTCCACCACGCTGGCCGAGTACGAGTTGGCGGAGCATGTCCTTCGAAAATTTGCTAGGTTTTCTTAGACATGTAGGTTTTCTCACGATGTTTTATTTATCATAAGACAAGTGTGGTAATCATGTTGGAAATAATTCGCTCATGAAAATATCAAAGGTGCAAGACCCGAGATTTGAACCTGCTTCACTCGCTTTCCAAGCGAGCGCGTTACCGTTGAGCTACCACTTTTTCTTTTGCAAACCAATAAAATAAACCATCAGTTTGTTTTAAGTTTTTTAGTTAAAATATGATTAATATTTGTTTACCTAAAATTGAGTGCAATTTACATATATGTATATATAATGTACGTATGTACGTGTGTATGTCCAGCGTCCGTTCTCGGAGTACGACAGCAACTACCAGATAATGTTCGTGGTGGGCATGGGCGGGCGGCCCGCCGTGCCCGCCGCGCTGTCGGACGAGGGCCGCCAGTTCTGCCTCAGCTGCCTCACACACGACCCCGACGCGCGCCCGCGCGCCGAAGCGCTGCGTCTGCACCACTTCCTCATGGTACGTACACTTCTACTCTCTCTCATACACCTCCACTCTCTCGTACACTTCCACTTTCTCTTATACACTTTCACTTTCTCTCATACACTTTCACTCGTATACTTTGGTTCTTTCTCATACACAAGAGAGTGCAAACTCCCTTTATCTATTTTTCTCCCTCTCTTTATCTCCTTTTGTCCACTCTATTATGAAAGAAGTACCAGATAAACCCACTTAAAACACCCCCAAATTACTTACAAGTGAGCCACTTAGCTTCACGCCCGGCTGGATTGCCGGATTTACTTTTTACGACAAATTAAGCAATAAGAAATGTCTCAAAATTAATTGTTCTTTTCATACATAAACATATAAATAGGTTATCGATGCCAGATTTGACCTCCAGCAAATAATACATAGCAAAATATTTATATTATATTTTTTTTCAGGTCAAATCAGATGATGACTGCAAGTGTGAAACAGCGTACCTAATGTCATCGAATCAACAAAATATGGCTTAAATAGAGCTACCTAAGTACTTATGAAAAACATATAAATAATACAAAACCTTATAAATATTAAGATAAAATGTAACCCACCATTTGGTGCCATCAAAAACACCCTCGTTATAACCTCTATATGTATTAATTGAGGGGATATCAGAAATTATATGAATTTCATTGAAGATATAGTCAAGGAGTTTTATCGTCTGATAAGCTGTGTGACGTCATAATTATAAGAAAATGATCAAATCATGTTGTATTTCTTAATATTAATATAATTTTTAGAAGAATTACATTCAGACATTATATTTTGAGTAATTGTTAGATTTTAAAGAGTTTTAAAGAAAAACTTTAAAGAGAAAGAAATAAAATATAGTGTAGTACTTAAATGTGAATTGTGAAATAATTTACACAATGTTTGATGTATTGAATAATAAACAATAAAATTTGATTTAGGGAGTAATGCTCGCCACCACGTCCGGGACTCTGCGTGTCGTGTGATAATTGTATATTTTCTTATATAAATGCATTTATATGATTCCATTATTGTAAACTTTTTCGTGTATATTTATTATATTTTCAATATATGGAAATTAAATACTTTTTAGAAGTATTCGTACACGGTTTTGGGCGTTGGCTTCTTGCCTGATTTTTGCTGAATAAGTAGAAAAAAATTAGGTATTTAAAAAAAGCTACTTATTTGTTGTTATATTGTCAGCACATGTCAATTTTTAAGTATAAAAATAGAATGTTTAGATTACAAGTTGAAATGATTTGTGGAGTATTTTTATAAATCAAATCCATTTGCTATGTTTTGATGATTGTATTCAAGTCACTGTGGGCAAAAATACTTAACCCTATGTGGGTTTAAAATGTAAAAATGTATAATTACAATGCAAAGTTAGTTTTAAATAGAGATTTCCATACTTAGCATGTTATATATAAATCCCTATTAATCCCTCCACGTCCGGGGACACGCCGGCGTTACAGTTAACAATAGATTTCTTAGAAATTTATTTGGAAGTGTTAAAATAATAAATGTAAGAGACTTTTAGATGGGTCGAAGTGACCAAGGCTACATTGTATCCTGATATATTGAGTAGATCCCATGGGGTATGAGTTGATGTAAACGGTCTCTTAAAATATTTAAAAATCAGATAGATCACTTTTACACTCACAAAAAGTAATTATATTGTTAATTTTAGTAACAACGAACATATTGTATTAAGAAATAATTATGGAAAAATAACTGGATAGAAGAATAATTATTAACTGTGGCATTTACGGAAGCAGCTTTTTCAGAGGCCGCTAAAAATTTTCGTATTTTATATGTAAGCAATGTATATGTTTAAGTAGCGAATAAATACTACGTTTGTTTAGACGTGGTCGCGTCTTTTTCCTTGAAATAAAAAACTTGTATAATGTGTTCTTATTGTATATTGAAACATGTATAATGTATAGTCGTCTCTCAGAGTATATAAGAAATTTTAATGGATATTTTGGGAAATTTGGTCGATGTCAAATCACTGGTTATAATTAACCTTGTTTTAAAAAATATATACCATTTGGTACAATTTTCCATTTGTAAAAAATGTTAATGAAACATGTACAAATGTGTGTTGGTTTATAGTAATAATGTGTATATTATGAATTGTTCTAACATGATACTTTCTTAGAATTTCGCGATAATCGACATTTTGAATAAAATTGTCTTGTCTGATTTCTTCGCGGATTTATTTTGATGTTTGGTTCCCGAAATTTTGAATGCTTTACAGCAATCATGGTCACGGGTCCCGAGAAATAATCCGATAAGATACATGAATATACTTCAACGGTCCCAAAGTGAAATAATATGTTTAGGTCTTTTTGCCTAAATGTGTATTGATATATACAATACTGTTCTTGTTCAAAAAGACACACGCAAAGAACAATGTTGTAACTTATGTTTTAAATGAACTTTATAGAATAGTAATTCATATTTATTTTAAACTGCAAATAGTGAGTTACAATATTATTCTTTGCTGAATAATTTGAACTATTCAAGCAAAGAATAATATTGTAACTCACTTATTGCAGTAATAACTTGAAATTCTATTTCTTGCTTTTTTCGTATATCAAACGCCTTTAAGTTTATTTATGGACTATTTTTTTTCTAAAAACTATACGTGATGTAGATACACTTATTTACTTGGGACCGTCTATTTATATTTAGTCAGAACAAAGATTAAAGTGCCAGTTGAATTTGGAATTTGCATTAAATTTCTTATTATATTTTAGGTAAAATATTATTTATAGTGTAAATACTTTGTTGAAAATGTTCGAAAAAATATGAAAACCAAGTGCCAGATAAAAATTGAATATGTATAATGGAATATACCTACTAAGTGGTCAAATAGGTAGATATTTGCATAAGTAAAGTTGATTATGTAATATTATATTATTGATTCTAATGAACTGGTTCTATGCGATTTGATAGTATTCAATTGTTTTTAAAAGAAAGCTATATGGAGTTTGAAATCTATTGATAAATTAGTTGAGATGATGAACTTCAATATTGAAATTTGTTGGTTTTGGTAATATTTAAATTTTATTGTAAAATATAAAGTATTACAGTTCGAGTGCCACTTCGTGTTACAAAAAAAAAATATATGTATGAAAATATTGTAAGAAGATGATACTTGATACTGATAGTTTTGTAGCATATATGATAGGTTCAGAAGAATCCTAAATAAAATTAGCATGTCAGTATGTATTTACTATTATTATATAGAAATTTAGTGGACGTAGTAGGTACAATGTTCGTGTTTGTAAAAGATTTAATTTTTTTTGTTGTTATCGTATATTGACCTACTTATTCGTTTTTAACAAATTGTACGTGTATTGCTTCTATCAACTGTATGATCGAAGGTGTATTGTGCAATGTTCGATACCAACCATATTGCATATTTTTATAGCCAATACTAAATTCCCTCCACACTGCGCTCTTAGACGAGCTACCTTTTTAGAAGGATAAGGAAAATAGAGCACTATAACGTGGCTGAGTTTGATATCACGTTAATTATCTAGTTTTTTCGATAGCTAACTTATTTTTTAGCTGACATCGAATAAAAGTCTATTTATGGAATAGTTTATAATAATTTATACTTCAACGGTGTACTATACAAATATCAAGCAATAATTCAACTCTCAAGCAGAATAATTACTTAAAATATGCATGTTTTCCTAAATCTCTTAAATAGACCACATGGTTGCTTGAACTAAAAACAAAGTATTCCTCAGAATAATCTGTATTTATATACTGAAACGTAATATAACTTATTTGAGCTGATAGATACTGTTAGTACAAACCAAATATACGTAAAAATCATCGATCAAAAAAGTACTAAATACACAAACCCGTGCAAAAGTTCTCTTAAAACTGTCACCAATTGTGTTAAGGTAATTATTCTAGTTGAAATAAATATATAACAATATAAACTGAACCTTAAATGCAATGCTTTAAGTTGTTTTCACAAAAATAAATTAAAGCGCGCTTAAATGTTCTAATGAGCGCTCACTCGGTAAGGACATTTTTTGTTGCTGACTGTGTATCTAGTACTTTTTTGATCGATGGTAAAAAAATATTATAGTGGTGTATACAATCAAGGAACTGACTTATGAATAAAATAATTTTATTTTAAACGTTTTTTTTTTTTTAATTTCTTATAATTTTTCATTCATGCCATATTTCCCTTATGAAAAGAATTCAAATAAAATTACAGTGGGTATGTGTTATCTTTTTGCAATAGAAATGAAGCTATTATCTCGGCTTATTCAGTTTTCCATACTTTAATAGGGGTAGAAGGGGAAGAATTCACTCGTGTGGTTCTCATGACAATGTACAATTACCTAAATGCCGCCATTTTGCCGTTGCCTAAATGCCGTTACAAAATGGTGATTTATCATATCCATAGTGACCATTATGATATGGGCATCAAATGAAAGAGCTTGATGAGCGAAACAAAACAAGCAAAGTGACGTCATTGTAAATTCAATATAGTGGATTCCCAAAAATAGCAGACTGTTTTTTTATGCACCCCCCATGATATGGGTATCAAATGAAAGGGCTTGATAAGCGAAACACAATTAGCAGTGACGTCATTGTAAGTCCAATACGGCGGTCTCCCACAGATGGCGTACTGTTTTTTATGCACCCCCCATGATAACGATATCAAATGAAAGGGTTTGCTTAGAAGAATATGAAGAAAAGTAAAAAATAAAAAAAACAAGCTATTATTTAAACGCTCTAAAAAAACAAAGAAGTAGGTATAACTTCCTACGTGCGTACATACATAAAGCACACACACACTTTTTTTTAATTGGCTTAGTAGCTATTACCTACCTGTATGTATGTATGCACGTGGTAACCGTAAATGCATTTTCCTAAAAAACAAAAAAGAATTAAACAGAGGAGAAAAAGGCAGAAAACTGTTTTGTCTTTGCCTATTCATGTATAGATAGTGAGGACAGGGTCTTAAGTAAATAAAACATTTTATAGAATATTCACAGAAAATTTATTAGAAGCAACATCAAATTGACACATTTCATACAATATACTAGTGAATAGTGATATGTTCTCAGCACTCCCTGCTTTTATAGTTAGACTTAGTGAAAACTAACATTCAGCACACGTTCGTGTTCGCTAACGTCTATAATCAAACGATGGAATATTATAATTAAATCTACTAACTAATAACAATATAATATTATAATCATATCAAAAATTTTGCACGACATCTCTTAAACTTTAATTATATAAATGATTGATTTTATAAGTTATCATTCTGATATAAATACTTGAGTTTTCTTAAGTTATCATCTTGAGAGGAAAAAAAGCGGAAGTAGGTAATGGTATACAATCTAAGTTTCCCTTCCGTAATGCTGTTTTGAGGTGTAAGTCTGAGTCTAAACAAAATAATAAAACCTGTGTGCTGGTACATCGAATGTAACTTGCCCTACCTGACCTACTTTTGGAA